AGCCTTATCTAAAGAGTCAGGTAAAATGCATTTTGTTATAATGGTTCCAATGTACCTTAGAGCACCCTTAGAATTGTGTTTTGGATTTTAAAGTTATTTAATTCCACATTTTACTTTTGCATTTTATCATTGGTTATACGTGTTCTGAAGAGCGGCCTTCTAGGACTCAGTCTTGTTTCTCTCTAAATAATATGAAGCTAGATGCTACCTATAAGAGATCTTAGGATTTTCTTCTGCAAAAGATTGTTCATGCTCTGTATTGGGAATTTGCGTGCTCACGCTGTCTTTGTTACAATTCATTTCTCTTTTTCTTTTTTCTTTTTTTCATTTTGATTGAAAATGCAGAAAGATACTAGTAAAGCAAAAATCATGCCTGCCTTTTGAGTTGGTTTGCTTTGTGTTCAGGCTGATAATCGAGTGGTTGCACAATTAGTGGAGAGTATAATCTTTATAATTGATGCTGTTCTTCCGTTGGTAAGAAAGTTACCACAAGCTGTTGTGGAAGAACTTGAACAGGACTTAAAGAACATGATTGTTCGGCATTCCTTCTTGACCGTTGTTCATGCTTGCATAAAGTAAGTTCAAGTTCAGGCTTTCGCTTTCAGACAATTGTCTTTTATTAATATATCTTATGCCGATTTGGATGCCTTCTAGATTTTTTATCTTCGTCCTCACTACAGGTGCCTGTGTGCTGTGAGTAAAGTGGCAGGAAAGGGTGCTGCTATAGTGGAGAATCTTATCCAGGTGTTCTTCAAACGTTTGGATGCTCAGGCAGTAGATAACAAGCAGGTCGGTGGATTAAGTTATGTGTAAATGGATTATGTCTTTAATTACTTAAAGTGTATTTTCAATGTTTGTTGCTTGGATCAATGTTTCTTCCAGTTACCCCTGAAGTTTGAACATCGTCCTTGATCTATTAAGGGATGGTAAAGATACCTTATATTAAATTAATTATCTTATTACATTGGATTGGTGGCCCAATTTGAAGTTTTCCTAAGAGTTATGCTTGTGTACGTAATCCTTCAAGCACTTCATAGGCAAAATGATATGTGAATTTATTCTTCTAAAAGAGTTTGATATGAGAAATTACAGTTTTGCGCATGGCCATGCATTTATATAGTTACTCGACAGGAATTTAGAATGAACCACAATGGTGAATTTGCAGATTATGCTGCTCAAGTATGGCTGTCAATCAAGTAAAACTATGAGTAGAAACCTTAAGCAAACCTTCCATGTCCTATATGCTACAAATTAGGATTTACTGATTGAGTAATTAACATATTCCTTGGTTCTTATTAATAAATTTGTTTCTTTATCAAAAATAATAATTAACATCGTAATAGTTCTGGGGGTGCATTGTTCAGACCCGAGTAAGGAGCAAAATTGAGACTTTGGTTAAAGTTGAGGCCCTCTTTTCGGTATTGGGTAGCTGCAGTATTGATTGCTCATGCAGGCAGTTATATGTAGGACTTCTGTAATATTGGGCTGCAGAGTGAACTTTTAGTGATATTGCTTTCATGAGGCAGCATGTTGTCGGGTTTTATGTATCAAGAAATTACTCATGGGGGAGTTTTATGTTATTGTCGTATTTTGAGCTGTTTGCATCTTGGCTTTTAGCTTTAAGCTCAAACAGAGAACTGGTTGGTACATATACATGTAATTGGGCTTCAAATTTTGACAATTTGCAACCTTTGCTAATTTCAGCAAGTGGGGCGATCTCTTTTCTGTCTTGGATTGCTTATCCGTTATGGCAACTCTTTGCCCAGTAACTCCGACAAAACAATTGATGTTGTTAGCAGTCTCAGCTTGTTTAAAAAATATCTTCTAGCGGAGGATTTTGTAATAAAGGTTCGGTCATTGCAGGTATGAACTTTTTAATTTACTTTTTCCTAAAAGCCTAGCTTGATCTTGAAATGTGCAAGGCCTGGTTTTATAATGGAATGTAGTGATGTTGTGTTGTAACATTTGTAGGCATTGGGCTTTGTTCTAATAGCTAGGCCCAAATATATGTTGGAAAAAGATATTGGGAAGATAGTAGAGGCAACATTCTCTTCTAGCTCTGATGTTCGCCTTAGGGTAAGATAACAGTGCCCCTTGATTTCTACTACAATGTCAGTCTGTATACTAATCATTTTTTTGACCAGATGCAAGCATTGCAAAACATGTACGACTATCTTCTTGATGCCGAAAGTCAAATGGGAACAGATGCGGCTAGTGATAATGTGATTCATTATAATGTGGAAGGCGGCAATGCTGTATCTGTTGCTGCAGGTGCTGGAGATACTAATATCTGTGGTGGTATAGTTCAGTTGTATTGGGATAACATGTTGGCAAGATGTTTAGACCTTAATGAACAAGTTCGCCAATCTGCAATTAAGGTGTGTATTGGGCTTCTATTTTCTGTTACTGGCTCCCTGTGCGCATTATTTTCTCTCTACGATTGTTATTTATATGGAGAATCAGAATCATGTTGACAACTAACTCCCAAGAAAATTATGCTGTGGAAAGGATGAGATGTATTTGAAAATTGAAGAGCAATTTTACGTCAATTTATTTACTTTTTCCTAATATAACTGCAGATTGTTGAAGTTGTACTGCGGCAGGGGCTCGTACATCCTATTACATGCGTTCCATACCTTATTGCTCTCGAAACAGATCCACTGGAGGCCAATTCGAAGTTAGCTCATCATTTGCTGATGCAAATGAATGAAAAGTATTCTCCTCTCAATGCTTTTTGACTTGCCATATCTTCTATTTTTTGCTTAGGTTTGCTAATCGAAGGATCATTTTAGGTACCCTGCATTTTTCGAAAGCCGCCTGGGAGATGGCCTTCAAATGTCTTTTACTTTCATACAGTCCATTAGTACTAGTTCTGAACATGAGAACAAAAAAGTTCAAGCAAAGGCTTCTGGAAATGCGAAGGGAAAATCTGATAGTGTTTCTCTCGCACAAGGCAGACTTGGGGTTTCTCGAATCTACAAGCTTATTCGTGCTAACCGGACTTCAAGAAACAAATTTATGTCTTCGATTGTTCGCAAGTTTGATAATGCTAGCTGGACACCTTCAGTAGTCCCTTTCCTGATGTGAGTTTAATCATTGGTGTCAGTCTTGGAGTTCATGTATTCTGGATGAGGGTGCTGACGTGGAAGTTAATTTCTTTTTACAGGTACTGCACAGAAATACTTGCCTTGCTACCCTTCACAACACCGGATGAGCCGCTTTATTTGGTCTATTCTATAAATAGAGTAGTACAAGTTAGGGCTGGGGCACTCGAAGCAAAGCTGAAAGCTCTGACTTTGCATTTGTTACAAAGAGGTGCATCTCATGGCAACGGCATAATTGAAGATGGCTCAGCTGCTCGGCCTCTTACGGGAGGGATGGCATCATTGGACTTGAATGGGACAGTTCAACAAGAACCAGTGTTTCAACCTGTTATAAATTATATGTCAACGGAGTGGAATGGTACATTACAACAAGAGCCAGCATATCAGTCTGTCTCCAATCAAGCTACCCCGTTTGAGGCAAACATGCATGTTACGGGCTCTAGCAGTTCCGGTGGCTTCTCAATAGATGACGTACAGAAATTCCAGGTATCCTGTAGTCCTGTACTAAATTGATTTTTCACAAGCCGGAGAAAAATTTCCTTGAGATAGACTGTTATTGTCATTGTTAGGGTTTTGCTGCTCGGTTAATTTTCATTGATTATTCTTATGTTTTACGTGCTTTTGTAGGCGGACTGCCTGGCAGCTATTGCAGTGCAGCTTCTTTTGAAACTGAAGAGACACCTAAAAATTGTGTATAGCCTGAATGATGCAAGGTGCCAGGTAAGCAATCACTAGATAATCATAGGAAAATATATTACAGTGGGTTACGAACTTCATTTATTATTTTTTTGTTATTGTTTGTAATTCCTCTTTTGAACCAGGCTTTTTCTCCGGGTGAACCCCCTAAACCGGGAGAAGTACTCTCGAGGCAGAATGTTCCTTTTGACCTCAGTGATACGCACACCAATTTGCCTACAACTTATCAAGAATTGGTACAAAGATATCAGGTACTGTGAGCTGTGAGACTCTCTCTGGATGTTAGCAACCATGTCCATGCATAAATTCTTACCGATATCGTTGTTGTACAGGAATTCAAGAATGCATTGAGGGAGGATACGATTGATTTCTCTACTTACACTGCAAACATCAAGAGAAAACGCCCGGCCCCAAGAAAAGGACGGAAATCTGTGGCTGGAGACGATGAGGGCGATGATGATGATGAGGATTATTCAGGTGGGGCTCGGAGGCCGAGTAATATTGGAAGGAGAGGTGGCTACAGTGTCAGAAGTCGACAGCGGTTATAGTATATGACAGGTAGGCTAACTTGTACATGTTGTAGGAGAAAGGAATAGCAATAGCCGATAGGGGATAGGGGATGGTATGATGAGAGCTGAAAAAGTAGATTTCTGGAAACCGTAGAGAAATCCGGAAAAAATAGATTTCTGTATTTTGTAATTTGCCCGAGAGAGCGTATATAAATTGTATTTTTGTGAATGAAATCATCTTTTTGTGTTAAATTTTAAATGTTGCCGAGATTGACAGTTTCTCGTCAAATCATCAACTTTTTGTTGTAATTTTATTACATTTGGTGTACTGATATGGGACTGTATTTTCGGCACGTTAAAAAATATCCGCTTTTAGTCATTCAGAAGCAGTCTCAAACGGGCCGATGCTATTCATTTCATTCGGACATACCTTAGAAATCAATCTAAAACGCATTTACATCGGATCGTATTTGAAAGTGATTTGGGAAGGTAAGAGAGCATGAGCCGCTTCTCACAAAATCACACAAAAGAACTAATCCCTATTTCCATCAAAATCACTTTTGTGTGCTTCTCCTCGAAGTGATTCCGCCCTCCCAAAGCCGAAAAGCGAGTTTAGATTGAAGCACTTTGCAAACAATGAAGAATAAGATGAATGTATAATACACAACGAGTTTTATATGTAACAAAATAATTAAAAAGGAACTTCTTCATACATAATTTGTAAAACTGACTTACAAAGAAAGAAGGCGTAAAAAAGTTTTAAAGAGAGCACATTGCTTGATCTTTGATAACACACCACGCCCTCTGTCCCTAACACTATAAAAATGTGAATTCCGACAATCTTTCGACAACTGAAACAAACATTATTTAAATTTAAGTTACAAGAGAACATAAACAGTATCAAAAAGTCCTTCGAGAATTAAACATCTTCAAAGAGTGTCTATCACCAAAAACCTTCAAAAAAACTTCGTCCGAACCTTGCTCAATGCTATCATGGTACTATGACAAAAAGAGGCTGCATAGAAGCAGAAAAATCGCTTAGATTACCACATCATTCGAGAGTACTTATGTGAGAGAGAGGCAGTAAGATTACTTACCGTGTCTACGCTCACTGGTTTAGTATCTTCGCCCAGTATCTCAGCAACGGTTCCAGATTGATCAGCCTGCAGAAGGATGAAAGGAACAATTAGTTGAGAAAACTTTCCAATGAAAGTAAAGCCACATCAGTGCATATCATCGACTACAGCAATGTAAAAACGAACCTCAATTTCGTTCATCAATTTCATGGCCTCAATGATGCAAATAACTTGACCTTTCTGAACTTTATCTCCAACCTGAACAGTTATTTGAGTAACACAGAGCATAAGCACTCTCAAGGGCTAACGCAACATTTCGATATGTTAATATGGAAGACATGTTCATGCGCACACATAATTTAGGTAATGATATGTGTCATCTCCCATATCTCGTGGAACTCAAGCTTTAATAGATAAGTAACAGACACTTACCTTAACAAAAGGTGGTTCACCAGGTGCAGGACTGCGGTAAAAGGTTCCAGCCATGGGGCATTTCAGTGGAGGGTGAGATGATGTGCTTGTCTTTGCAGGGGCGGGTAATGCAGGTGCTGCTGGACCGGGCGCTGGAGCAGGAGCAGAAGCTGATGCTGGTGCTAGTGCTGGTGCTTGTTGAGGTGGTGGTATGGAATAATAGTGTGCTGGTTGTTGGGAAACGGGAGCTGGTGGTGGTGGCGCCAAAGCTTCTTTTTTTCTAATCACAAGCTCTAAATCTAGTTGCTTCATTTCCAGCTCCACAATGTCTCTCGAATCAACTAACCTGCTCACGAAAATGATATCACGTTAATGAAAATAATTGATGTCCAAAACATAGTCGATGCTATATGGATACCAATTACAAACAAGAGTCGCAGCAACTTACTTAACAAGGTCTGAAACTTGAGCCATGAATGCGGAGATTGATGCTGCATCTGGAATATTGGTTTGACTGGAAGACTCGTCTTTCCCTTCCTGTGATCCATCTTCAGACTTCTTGTTTTTTGTGGGTACAGAATTTGAGGATTTCTCAGCTGTAACCTTTGGATTCAGAAAGTAATCAATTATACATTCAATACGACGGTGCCAATCAAACCCACCTACTAAACTAATTCCAAACAGTTTTACCTCATTAAGCTGTGCCTGCACTTTCCAGGAAGAGGATTGCTTCCTGACGGAGCTCTACACAAGTTAACCATATGATCAGAAAACAATTATTAATGGCAACTTATCACGTAAAATCTAGATTGCGATACGTATAACTGTCACTGCTACAAAAACCTATTGAAAAATGAAAGCATAGAGTAATGATTATAGAAAATCAAATCAATTATCGGTCGAAGCTTGCTGGTTTAATCCAAAGACAGCATTTTGGTAAGAATTTGTAACATTACTAAGTTACAGCTTAATCAAAATCCTAATTGTGATTAACAAATTCTTCAACTACAAGAATTTCAATGCACACAACAGTATTTCCCACGTGTTAAATTCAATTTATTATTTTAATATTCAAGAAGCTTCCGAAATGAAGATATACAACCTATACAAACATACCCATTTGAGCAAATTACAAGATTAGAGCATGAAATTACAAAAAGCAATGAAATTTACACAAACAAAGCTTAAACAAGTAAACGGTATGCGGAATTAATCACACCTGAAGGCCAGAAATCTGCAGAGAGGGAATGGGGCAGCGATTGAGGCAGTTGTGGAAGGACAGGAGGTGCTGGTGCGGCTGCGACGGCTGGGCGGCGGAGCCGAGGCGGGTAACGGGGGCGGCGCACGCCTTGGGACAGGGGACAGTGAAGGAATCCATTGGAGTGTGCGGTGAAGCAAAGCAAAAGCAGAGTGAGCTCCTCGTTTTGATTCCCGCAAAGAGATGGGAATTGGGACTGGGGAAATGGGGAGGTGGGATCTGAAGGGGGAATGGGAATGGTGGGGGGAGGGATATGTAGATGAGGGAGGGGCGATGAGATCCAAGAGGTGGGTTTGTTTTGGTGTTTGGGGACTGAGAAATCTGAGAGAGGGGGGAAGTGGGCAGAAGGGAAAGGACTGGATGTTAAGTGCAATGTGTGTTTTATTCTCTACTTAATCACGTTGTGTTTCTTTGTTTTCCGATACTTACAATGTGAGGAGAGAGAGAGAGAGAGAGAGAGAGAGAGGAGAGAGAGACACTATATTGAAAAACCCACTCTCCTTAACTAACAGCTAACAACTCACGCGCCTCTCTCTCTCTCTTCTGTTTCTCTCTCTAGAATTAAAGGGCCCTACATAGTACATATCCACATTGACAGTATTGATACGCATTGACAATGTGTTTGGGTTTCCTTCCAACTCCAACTGCAAATGGTTGTGTGGACGACTTTGGAGAAACTTTTAGCATGCCGAAAACACGGTTTTATATATTAAGTATTATAATATAAGTGATTAAATTTTTTTTTTTAAAGTATCTAACTACTTGTATTATGACATTAGAAGTAACATGCCGTATTCTCAACATACTTAAAAATCACTTCAACTGAGGGCCCTTGGGTTTCCTTTTTAACTTTTAATCTTTCCCATTTATGAATTCATGACTATCCTTTTTTGGATATTTTTCATTAGGGCTTAATAAGATATGATTAAACCTATATCATAAAAACAACTTGGGTTTCAGTTCATTTCAATTAATTAGTTTGGAATTATAAGTCTAATAAAATTAAAAATGATAATAGTATCAAAATAGGAGCTTGTGGCATTTGCATTGAGTAAAATGTAACAGAAGCAATCCAATATAATCCTTTGTACCAAACAAGGCTTTACAAGACAAATATGATTAGAAAAGTTTGTTAAGTCTATCCCATAAACTCAAGTTCAAATCTTTTTTTCCCTATAGATTAGAATAGTAGTTTATAAATGGATATAATCAAATGCATGACTATATACATCACATTGTGAATTTAAGTAGTAATAGTTATTTGACCCTCCGAACTATTATTTATGGTATATTAACCCCTTAAATTATTTGAAATTAGCTAGCTATCCCCTCGCCATCGATTAAGTTTCATTTACTTTACCGTCAAATGCCAACATGAGTCTAGCACCTGATTCCCTCTTGAAGTAAAGTTGTCGTAGTATTTGACAGCAAAGTTGATGAAAATAATTCAGAAGATTAGCTTCAACTAGAGTAATAGTTCAAAAAGTTGGAAGGCAAAGCCTTTTAAAGGCAGCCATGCCAAAAAGCTTTAGACTTGTTTGATAGTAAATTACGACGGCTTTGACAAGGCAGGAGGAGCTATTCTTGTCGGCGCGTGGAACTATCCAAACAAATATTCCCAATTCGAGAGTAAGAATTTCGACCTCCAAAACATTTAAAAAGGCAGTAGGCAAGGCATGAGTTCAGGCGACGGTTGAGCTACCAAGTCGACTATTTAATTTGCACACCAAAATTGGTGAAATAATGAATGCAGGTAAACCAAATAATCTGGCAAGTTTATTCACAAATTGCCGAGAGAGCTCCATAGAAACGCATTTGGAAAATCGTCTAGCAAATCACATTCACATTCGCAGTCGTCGTCATCGTCGTCGATGCTTATTGAAGAAAATGCAAGTGTTACAAAACAGTGAGAGAACCTACAACATATTTGTGGGTGGGTGTGAGGGAAGAAATATACCAGCCTTCAATACCTCTCTCTCCGCGGCCGGTAACTAAATCGCATAAAAGCGATAAAATATTCCAAGACCAAATCGATCGTGAAGGACAATTATGAAATAATTAAGGCAAAGAGAAACTAGGAGCTTAGTATCTGTTCCAGTAGGTGCGGCGTCTGAACCAGTTGTAGTCGGGCAATTTTGTAATCGGACCCATGGCTGCAATTGCGATATCCTGCCAACAGCAAGAAACAAACACAAGTATGAGGGCTTGGTTACATGATCTCCGAGGTTGAGAGAATACTCTTTATGTATTATAAATTATGACAAGTTAGGTAACAGATTGTACTCATACCCTGTCATAGATGAATCGGTTGGCAACACGTTTGATGGTGCTTGCATCAACAGAATCAATTCTAGCAAACAGCTCGGGTAAGGGGATTCTTCGACCATATGTAAGTAACTGCAAAAGCAGTGTCAAAAAACAACAGGGACAGAATCAGCTTCCAGTACAGACCTTAGTTCTTGTAGTCTACTCTTACATTGTCACTAGAACTAGGCAATAACGATCAACACTAAGTACCGATTTTCAATTACAGCAATTAAACTCAGCCAGCAAACATATACCAATTCCAATTAAATGTTATAAAGACTACAAATAAGCTTGGGGAATCATCCCAGGTCTAGGTAACTAGATCAAATTAGCAACTCCAATTGTTTGAAGCTGATTGCTCTCAACAGTGTTTCTATATGGGAAGAAAAAAGTACCTGACGCCCAATATCTTCAGCTACGGCACTTGTCCCATCCAAATGCAGGAGCAGCGAAGATTTCAACTGCCAGAAAAGAAACAACGATAAGTGGGTCAACTTATATATGGTGGAATGTTCAGAAACATGCAATGACCAAAGGAGAACATAACTGTTTTACCATTTTTATATTGGGCACCGCCAAAAAAAATACAAATTAAAACATGCATAATTGCTTAAGAAAGCATGAATCTAGAAGTGAAGCAGAGTTAGAAATCAAGTGCTACCTGATTACGAGCACGAATAACATCAGCTTCTGAAACTCGATAAACTAACTTGGTGACCTCATACATGATTGCATAGGCCAAATCATCTAAGCAATCCGCCTGCAATTAAAACAAAACACAATATGAGTTGTAGAAGTAAATTAGTATGAGTAACTAGTTGGTAATGTATAAATAGACATATACAATTGTTTATCACAATAAAGGGGGAGGGAGAGGGAGGGGGAAAGAAAGATAGAGATAAAGAACAAGAGGAGAAGAAATAATTGGTTAGGTGATTGTCCAGTAGTTTCATCCTTCGGCTCCACCTAATTCCACTTGAACTAAAAATAAGACTAATCTTCCTCGGTAGTTCCCCAAATTTCCAAATTAAAATACAATAACTACTTCCAAAGTCGACAACTCCTTGGTGTTCAACAGAAGAATTAAGCCCAAGTAAAAAATTTGGGTTGAAAAGAAATAACCAGTGAAAACAACTAAGAATCATATCACAAAAGGCAATCTCACCGGAGCAGTAGCAAAAACACCGAATAAGCCAGTATCCTTATAGTTGGTGTTGAAAGACATATAGCTTTCTGCTATGTCATTAATGGCAACCCTCTGTGCCAGTTCTGAACTGTTTACAACAAAGCAACCAAAGTTAAACATAGCATGATCTTCAAAAATATAAACTCAGAGTTGATATCAAGTATTCAACCCACAGATATTGAAAACCATGTAAATTGCTCACCCCATGTGCTTTCCACCACCAGCATTTTTATTCCATGAACCCAACATCGCTTGCATGACCATTAGAGGAATAGAGTCGGGATCAGTCCAAGATGCACCACTGAACGCAACCGCAAAATGTGCCAAAGGCAAGTCATCATTCACAATTCTGACCTGATTTTCATAACATCAATAGAAATGTATAAATTATAAGAGAAAGCAAAAACAAAGTACAAGAAAAAAGTTAAATAAGAGGATACATGCATTACCTCAGAACCGGTAAAAAATGAAGGTTCTTTCGCAACCAACTGACCGGCAGTGGTAGGATCTCCTGAGAGTTTTGTGAACAAACCCTTAACTGACCCAACAAGATCTTCATGCTTGATAGCTCCTGAAGCAGCAATAACCTAAAATAGAACAAGTTAAGCACAGGACAGTCAACTTCTGGAAACAAACTCCTGATTATCAATGTGTCATGTAAAGTACTACCAAAGGGCAATGACAACACCACTTCCATGCTTTCCTATATAGTACAAACAAAAATTTTAAACAAAAATTCATAAGTATTAAATTACCATTCTGGGAGCAGTGTAATGTGTTTTGATATAGTTCTGAAGATGCTCTTTGGAGATGGTCTTAATGTTGTTAGCAGGTCCAAGAATAGTTCTGGCTAGAGGAGAGTACTGGAATGCAGTTGCATGCAGATGGTCAAAAATGACTTCTTCGGGTTGTTTCTCGACCTGCAGTACCAAGGCGATGATATGAACATTTATTCAAAAGCATTATGAACCAATCTTGGATAGTGTACATTTCCATTACAAGCAACCTCAACTTTAACAGTTTTTGGGATCCCTATCAAAGTTTTTCATACAAGTCACAAAATAAGAGTAAATATGTAATTGTTCACAAGCTACTGTGAAATGTCCGGTTCAAGTCTAGAAGAGTGTATCTAATCAATGCATATATCCAGGAACATTTTCTCATTAAAGTTCACAAATTTCATATAAATCAAGTTACTTTGAATGCTATTGAACATTTAAAATTTCACATCCACAGCAGGCAACATTGAAAATCACTAATCCCCGAAAATCCAAACAACCCCAATACCTCAATTTTCTAAAAGTTTTAGTTTTTACGAGATTACCTCCTCCATTTCCCTCAAAATCACATCGCGCTCGCGCAAAATCCGGTCCTCATCGAACTTGGAGTTCTGCAAGATATCAGCCAAAATCGAAAGGGCCTTCGGCACATCGGAATCGAGCACCTTGGCATAGTACGTGGTCTGCTCCCTCGATGTGTACGCATTCAAGTGACCTCCCATGTTCTCGACCTCCTCCTCGAGATCACGGGCCGTCCTCTGCTCCGTCCCCTTGAAGATCATGTGCTCCAGGAAATGCGCAGTGCCGTTGGTCTCGTCGTCTTCGAACCTTGACCCGGCGTCGATCCAGACTCCGACAGTGGCGGTCTTAGACGCGAGGTTCGACTCGGTGGCCACCCGAAGGCCGTTGGGGAGTGTGGTGACACGTGTCTCGGGTGCGGTGAGGATGTGGCTGTGGTCCGTGAGACTAGGGTGGGGCGACCCGTACTTAAGGAACCTCGGGTCCGGGTTCTCGAGCCTTTTGATCTTCGATTTGACGCCCTCGGCCAATCGATCGTAGATCATGGCGGTTGGTGGAGGAGGGGAGGGGAGGGATGGGGATGAAGGTGACGTAGCGACGGCGGG